CTCTACAGGAGAGCTCTCGCAGCCCCCTGACCACCAACTCCTCGTGTGAGCTGAACTCAGTGCCCTCGCTGGTTTCCTCTCCCCAACCTCTAGGTCCATCCCCTGTCAGGTTCCGGTAGAGAAAATGTGCTGTGTGGTACCTGGGCAACTCTGCCAGTGGCTGTCCCAGGCCATCCTACCCCTATGCGCGGCGTTCCTTCAAATCCACAGCACGTTTGGAGCAAGCATTCACCATAAAGGCTGCTTAGAACTTCCACTTCTATCCTGACAGAAGTGGGAGACGAAGGAAATACCCGAACACGAAGGTGGTATTCCCAGGGGGAGGCTTATCCATTGCACTGTGGATGTGCTGACCTCTGTGATTCCCCCAAATGTGGGAGTGGGGGACCGTGTGTGCACTATCCCCTACAGAAATAAAGGAAAAGAAAAGAACTCCCACTTGTACTGTATCTCGCACTCCCATTTCACTCCGCACCCGGCTATGGATCTATGTAGCTTATCTGCACGTCCATCCGCGGATGCATCTGTTGGTCCTTCTGCTCACTCATACCTCCGTGAACCATCTATCACCCAGTCATCTGTCTGTCCATTCTCTCACCTAACCATCCTTCCATCTACCCGTCTATCCATCCTCCTCTCTAACCATTGTTCCATCCATCCATCCTTCCTCCAAGCATTTATGATGCCCGTTAACACCTTCTCCGTGCAAGATGACAAAGACTTCAATTGTCTAGGAGCAAATCTAAGACGCCAGCCAGCACTCTTTGTATCTCGTCAGCTCCTCACACCCAGAACCCTGATGGGGCAGCCTCAATCTCACCTCTCTCAGCTTGGAGGGGACAAATGAATGCCAGGTACCCTACCTAAATGGGCACTCAGAGGCTTTCCCCAAGGCTTGTCTGCCACCAAACCCTCAGTCTTGTGGGGTCAGAGGTGCCCGTGTTCCAGGCTCTGGCCTCCCTTCATTCTCAGGCAGGCCCAGCCAGCACATCTGGAATTTGGCCTTTGACCTATCTTCTAGTTCCCTTGCCTACCCCCTAACTCCTCACCCCTGAAGAGGCTGGGGTCCCGACCTGTACTCTGACCCACCCATTTGCCAGACAGTCACAGACTCCCTTGGCCGCCCCAGCACCGGCCATTGCCCAGATCATGACGGGGCTCACCACACCCTTGGACTGGGCTCCCACCCGCCCTGAGGAGCCTCCAGAGGCTGCCTCCCCCAGCCCGCCCCACCCTGCTGCCCTAGGTCCAGCCAGCTCCCCTCCCCACTCCCAGACTATTGCAACAACCTCCTAACTGGTCCCTGGCTGCCGGTCCCTTCCACCCACCACACAGCAGCTACAGAGGTCCCTCACCATGTCTCCACAGGGGAGGCCCAGCGTTCAGGAGCAGCTCCGCCTTCCAAACCCAGCTCCATCCCTTCCTGGTGCCGACTTTCCCATGCTGCCATCCCTCTCTGTAGGAGCCCCGCCCTTCAGGCCCCTGGAGCCCTCTGCCTTCTGCAGGCACATCGTGGGCACCGCACACACATCTCACTTGATATCCAGAGCGCCCTGGCCCTGTCCCATGCAAGGGTAGGAGTGTTGGCCCCAGGCCTCTCACAGTGCTGCAGCAGAGAGTGGTGTTGCAATAGGAGCCAAGTATCCTTGGCTCTGGTCTCAGACCTGCAACCAACTTGCCCTGAGACCCTGGGCCTCAGTTTCCCCATCTGCAAAAAGATTTGCTGATTTTTAGAGGTCTCCCAGTTCTAGGGTGGAGCAGGTGGGCTTGGTTGTAAGCAAAATCCCAGCACTCCACGGCCTGTCCCCTCTAACAAGGTCCTGCATGAGGTCCCATTGAGCAGCAGTTCAAGTCAAGGAATGACCCCTCTCCCCTCTCCCCCCCTTCCCCTCCCCTCTTTCCCCTCTTCTCTCTCTCTCCCCCCCTT